TTTATTCCCCCTCACTCCAGCTGTGGAATAATGAGTGATGCTGCCAAAATTTGTGTCTGCTACAGCATGCTTGGTTTTATGGGGACTTCATCTTTCTAATATTTTTATGAAGGTTTCTGTGGGCTTACAAACTGTGTAAGGCTGAAAATTGGCAAGAGCTCTGAAAAGAAACCAAGGTGCTCACTTCTTGATTGTCTGACTTTTGTCTGTGGAATGTGTGCAGAGCTTTCAGTGAAGTGTGTAGACTCCATGTGTGGAGGCTGCAGATACCTTAGTGTGGCAGTTAGCAGCTACTGTTAGTGTGCAGAGCTGTGATCTGGACAGAGCTTGTGAATTACAGAATCATAGAATGATTGAGTTGGAAGGGACTTTAAAGATGTAGTTGCAACCCTCTGCTGTAGACAGGGACACCTTTTGCTAGACCAGGCTGCTCAGAGCTCTTTCCAACCTAGCTTTGAACACATCCACAAGTTCCAGCCAATTCCTTATCCATCTAACAGTCCTCCCATCAAATCTATCACTCCTCAATTTAGAGGGAAGGATGTTGTGGGGGACTGTGTCAAAGGCTTTACAGAAGTTCAGATAAATGACATCTCTAGCCCTTTCCTTGTCCACTGATGCAGTCATTCCATCATAGAAGGCTGGTAAACTTGTAAGTACAGATGAGGAAAAGGCTGAGGTACTCTACAACTTTTTTGCCTCAGTCTGAAGTGGCAACCTCTCTTTCCACACCTTTCAAGTGGATGAACAAGAGGATGGGGACAGGGGAAGTGAAGTCCCTCTGACTGTAAATACATGGTTCATGTGCCACCTGAGGAACCCAAATGTACATAATTCTATGGGACCCTATGAGATATATCCCAGTGTCCTGAGGGAATTGGTAACATAGTTGTCAAGCAACTCTCCATGATACTTGAATAGTCATGGCAATCAGGTGAAGTCCCAGGTGACTAGAAAAAGGGAAACATTGTATCAATCTTAAAAAAGGGTAGAAAGGAGGAGCCTGAGAACTATGGACCTGTCAGCCCCACCTCGGTGCCTGGGAAGGTCACGGAACAGATCGTCCTACAAGCTGTGCTAAGGCACAGGGAGGACAGGGAGGTGATTCAAGACTGTCAGCATGGCTTTGCCAAGGGCCGAATCAGGAGTCCGAGGCACTTCGGTGAACTGCACTTATTCAGTACTGGTCTCTGTCTGTGGACATGTGTCAGCCCTGACCTCTGTCAGAACATAGACAAATCCCTGCAGCTGTCTTCAAGGGCTTTACATATAGGTTCAAGGTGGAAGTAGTACATTCCTTCTTACCCCTTTATTCCAATAAAAAGTGGATCTTGTGTCTTGCAGCTAGAGACTGATTTAATACCTTCTTTGGCTTGAGTAGATTCAGATTTGTACCCCTTGGGCAGTGCAGGAACTCCCCTGGTTGCTTGGGACAGTATTTGTTCCATGAAGGCAATGGGTAGACTGGGGAATATCTGAAAAAACAATCTCACTAAACATCCTTGGAGAAGGGGCCAAACCCTGGTATTCTGGTCACGTTACTTCTACTAAGTGTTTGCCTTAATCCTGGAGTTCTCAGATCAGGTGTGAGTATTAAATATTGACTGAGAGAAGTTCTATAGGATTGTCTGTTGTTTCTGCCTCAATTACTCTTAATCTGTTAGAATTGCAGTTAGTTTTCTGCTTCAAGGCAAAGTGACATTTCATACACTCCAAATAAAATGTAGATTGGACAGAACAGCAGGGAGCTTGACTCAAATCTGCACGATAAAACTTTAAACTCTACTAGCTCGTAAGTATTTTAAAATAGAAAAAAACTACTTCCCCAGGGGAGTTAACTACTGTTCAGCAAAGGGCCAGTAAGATGATTAAGAGACTGGAGCCTCTTTCATATGAGAAGCTGAGAGAACCGAGACTGTTGTCTGGGGAAAAAGAAGGCTCAGTGGGGAACTTAGTAATGTTTATAAATACCTGATGTGAAGATGTAAAAAAGACAGGCCCTTCCCAGTGGTGCCCTATGGCAGGGTAAGAAGCAATGGGCACAAATTGAAACATGAACAACATGAACCTCTTGCTGTGAGGACAGACGAACACTTAATAATGATGTGACTTCACCAAAATTCACTATTTTAAAATACTTAGCTTATAAAATAAATCACCTGGCCAAAGCTTTTGAATGTCTTGGATTGTTATTGAGTCAAACAGCAATGCTCTGCTGTATCAGTTTTAATTGGGTTTAAAATGTCTGCAGCTTGGTCCGGTGTATTGCTGTAGCTCTGTGTGGGAAAACAGGTTTAATTGTACTTACTGGACCTGAATTAGGTGATAAAAGCTCCTTACAAAGGCAGTATTTGTCTAACACGATCTTGCTTTACTCACTAACTGCAAAGCTGCTGTAGAGTTGAAAATGCCTGCCATTTCCATAAGTGACGGCTATCATGCTGCCTTATCTTCTGCTGTGAAGTATAACCTGGGTATTGCATGTTGCCTAGCAGCACAGTTCTTGTGAAGAGGAAAAAAAAAGGGTATTCTGATACTTTCAACATAAGGCTTTCTTAAGATGACTTGAATTTTCATTGTAGAGTAATTAGACATTGCTCCTTTTCAGCATGATGCTCTTAGGATAGCCTTCAGTTCACAGCACTAGGAATAAAAGCAGATTTAAGTGTTGATATTCCTGTCCTTCACACTTCTCAGTTTTAAAATTCTGTTTTCAGGCCTTTCTTCTGTAAAGAAGTAACTTAAGAAAATTTATTTGTAGGAAGGCTTTCATCTTTACTGGAAATCCTTATCAACTGAGCATTGATGCAAATCTGTGGAGTGTCTTCCTCTTGCTGACTCCTGAGGCTCATTCCTACTGAGAAGCAGATATTAAGAAATCTTGAGCAGAACTGACACTAAGCTTAACCTTCATGGCTCAAGATGGGCCTTAAGCAGTGGTCTGAACTACTAGACTGTGTTAGCCTTTATTCACAGTTCTGCAACATTCTTCTAAAGCCGTTAAATAAGAAAATGTTAACACTGAGCCCAACGTACAAAAAGCTCTTGATTATCAGGGTGAATGTTGCAGCACACGGCCACAATGTGGTTTTAAATCCATTGACATTTTAGCATTTCTACGTAAGTCATGAGATTCTTACCTGCATATGGGCAAGATAAGACTGAGGAATGTCTGTGCCTGGCTCTTTGGCTCTGTCCTGTAATCCATCCATTTCCATTATACAGCTGCCAAGCTGGGAATTGCTCCATTTTGTACATAAATAGCATTCCAAATACAAATCCAGTACCCTGTTCCCCTAGATGGCAGAAGGCTGAGGCATAGCTCTCATGCCTGAGAGAATCTAATATTGTACCTTTGCAGACTACAGAATTTTATGACAGTAGGAACAAAATGGAGGTGGAGCTGAAAGGATTCCAGGCTATATGAAAAATTCACTAATGTGCCAAGGAAATCTATTCTGAACTGAAGAAGCATCCTTCAAGCAAGAGGCAGAAGACAGTTATATTGTTCCTTTATGCTAGAGAACTCTGTTAAAGGCTTTGTTCTTTTGTAGTCAGAAAAGCAGCTGGGTAATACACATGCAAACTGTATCCTGCCTTGACTTCTTCTAGATAAACTTCTAGTGTGAACTTAATGTAAAAAACTGCAATTGAAATAAAATTGCATAAAAGCACCAATGTATTTATCACAAACTCAGACACTGGCACAGAAATTTCAGCATGCAGGTACACAATCAAGGGATTGTCATGAGGTATTGTCATGAGAACAACTATTTGAGTGATAAAGGAGGGGAAAAATTGCTTTAAAGAGCTTGGGGATACTTTTGTATGTATTTTTGGGACTTCAGAAAAAATACTCAGTAATTTACATAGCTGATATTATATGTTTAAAGAAAAATGCAAACTAGCGAGAAAGCTACTGCAGTTTGATACCCATCAATCTTTATTCAGACTGGCCCGATTACTTTTAAAAACACCATTAAGCAGACACACACTGCCATCTCGTGAGCATCTCTAACACAGCTGCAGGCTGATTTTGGGGGAGAGGAAAACGAGTTGCTTGGAGCAAGTAACTTAATACAGTACAAAACATATACAGACTTAAAAAATGCTGCACTGAATGCTTTGTCAATGGTATATTATATAATAGAGATACACAGAGCAAAGCTAAAGTATTTTATTAATAATTTATTGTCAGTAAGAAAGACTGGCTAATGGTAATTTTCAGTAAAAACCTTTACAAGACCATTGGATCACAAATATACAGACACTATAAAAACTGTGTCATGGTGGTTTTGGTTCTAAACTGGTATGTAGAGGGTCCCCAACACACTTTCCAAGGAGGGAAAAAAATGTTTACAGTTCTAAAATACAGCAACCCATTTAAGACATTTCCATGTAGCTGACCCAGAAAAATATCAGACCTAACCTATGTACAATTGTAATTGTGTGAATATGTTGAATGTCTTACAATGAAATGTCAAACCTTGATTTTCAGGGGAATACATACAGTGATGCCCTGATTATAAGTCAGGGTGCTCATTTTTAATGGCACACTAACACCACTAGTTTCAGTGGAAAACAAATTCACAAAATATCTACAAAATCTAGTTAAAACTATTAAAATCAAAACTGTACATAAAATTTACAAAAAGTAGGAGAAAATTAATTGCATTAGAACTATATAAATATATGCATCATGCTAACATGGAGAAGTGGTATGTGATTTTTTTAAACATAGACAATGTAAGTACAAAAAGGACGTTCAGAAATGGCACAGCCAATGGAAATCTTGGAACTGTTCAATTAACAGTAGGTCAGGAAATGGAAAGAGGCTGATTTAGTAAAATGAATAGCATGATCCAATGCTGCCATGCCAGTTTAGCTCACTGAAACAAAAGCATTCACTGTGGCTGGGAAAAAAAAGAAAAAAAAAGAAAAAAAGCTCTTGAAAATTGTTGATAAAGTTTGTTAGAGTCCAGGCACTTTTGTTGAGTGTGTCAGACTTCTGTATGTTGCTGGGAATCAAGTGGAGGAATTTTCACATTTTCGAAGTGACCATCATCTCCACTCTCATAGTCACTCATCATGACTTCAGACTCCATTTCACAGCATGCTGACACATCAGAGCAGGAAGCTGTGGAAGCATACACAGACATGGACATGTTGTCTACAGTGGGTGCTTCAAAGTCTCGGTTGTACCCTAATGTGTAAGGAGCATAAGGTTCTCTGTAACTGCCGCTGACACCACCGGTTGTGGTCTGAGGTTCTGACATGTCTGCAGGGTAGTGATGAGGAAGGTACTGATTAAGGTTAAATCTCTGCCTGCTTCTTGAAGAAGAACCCAAGCTACCTACAGCTGGCATGTCTCTGGGTGGCTGTATTGACTCAAACTGGTCGCTGTATTCAGGTGGTAACGGTGGAAGCTCATCAGGTGCAGGGAAATCATCAGGTGGAGGTGGAAAGTCACTTTCTATGTCATAACCGCCAGGGTAATAGTCTGTATCGATGGCATTCGGATCCGTGTAGAGGGGAGCTGACTCCTCAACCACTTCGTAATTTGGATACTCCTGGATACCTGGCAACTGAACACTTGGCATCCAGTCTGATGTATCCCAGTGATAACCTGAGAAGTTAATTAAAAAAAAACCCCAGTAGTATTAGTATCTTGTATTCAAGTTGATCTGAACTGAGAAGTCAACACATATTAAGACAATGCAACCACTGTGATTAGACACTACTTGTTAATCAGAGAGCAGTTTGCCCTGGTTCCACAAAGGACATTCAACACAACACAACTTTACATTATGCCATGCATTAGATAGTGCATCATTCACACTTGAACCTTTACATTTTCTCAGTCATCTCACCTAACATGGGAAGAGCTGTACGTCACCTATGGAATGTGCTGTCACAATACATAATGGTATAGAATTGTTCACCGGCTAGCAAAGAATCAACAGCCTCCCTGATGCAGCTAAATTCTTAATCAATTGTTCTCAAGTAATTTGTTAGGGTAATGACAATGACCTGCTTTACTTAGGAATATATTTAGCATCTATAACCCATGACTTTCTTACATAAAAGAGGTAATTTCTAACTGGTAAAGTATTCAGAATATTTAAAGTGACTTTACCCCTTAAGTGAATTGTAAAGTTAATTTCACAAAATGCTGTTAGCTCTACAGTAATTGCCACACCTCTCATAAAAATCTCTATTAGTAAAGACATTCCACATTCAAATACAAGAACAAAACAGGAAAATCAAGTTTAATCATGCATAAATGTCCGAACTTGATCCTCTCTTGCAAACTCCCCTTGAATAAGTTTGTTATTTGTCTGCTGGAAACTAGATGTAATCCTAATCTCATTAAAACACGATCTCTTTTCTCATCTGAACAATAAGGAAAATAATACACAATTGTAATATAGTGCAAATCTAGTAAAGTGTAATCACTGCAGACAAATGCACGGCAAGCAACTGATGGTAAGTCTGTGTTAAATCCAAGTATTAACAGAAATATTTTGGTGAACATCAATGAACTGCATGCAGAAGTCACCTCTTGAATTGCTGAGGTCAGGAACAGCAAAAGATTCTTTAGGTGGCAGAATGAGAAGAAAAAGGAAAAAACATCTGTGGTTAGGAATCAAATAGCAGAACCAATATGAAGACAAACAATGACTGTCACTATGATGTTCATGCTGGTTTTGAACAGTTTACTTAGCAATACTGAAGTTGGCTTTTTTATTTCCTCCTGGGCTCCTTATTTGTTAAGACTTGAACTGTAGAGTGGCTACTGAGTTCATGTACAGCCCACCTGAGACATGGCTATATGGTGGCAAAATATGCAGTCTGTAGTTTGCTGAATCCTCCTATCAGCAGATTTAGGACTTCTGCTAGAAAGGGTAACAGGACTTGATCTGATTTTTATTTTTCTTTCCTTGCATCCCCTTTGTCTTATTGATACAGGGCTGCATCTATTAGAACATATACTTTCAAGTATCTCATGCAAAGAAGGTAACTCTCTCTTTAGTGTCTAGCTTCCACACACTGTGCACCGGGAGTCCTGCCTCCCTTTGTACAGCAATATCAACAGCTCACACTCAGTGTTACCTGACAAATTTTAAACCTTTCTCTCTTCAGGTATCTCTATTTCCTATTCAAGTCTGTGAGGATGAGTGATGCCCATCCTAATACCAGAATTTTCTCCCTAAGAATTCATACTCTTATTTATTCTTGAAAGACTGGAGGGACAGAGAGAGGTTGACCCTTCAGTGGGGAGTTCTTCTTTCTTTTAAGCTTGCCTAGCCCAGACAACAAAAATACTGTTCAGACTAATGGAGATATCAGTCTGAGACTCTTAGAACATCTCTGGCCTCATCTCCAGGAGAGAGTTCTGACAACTAGTCTAATTAGAAGGTGACATTCTTCATTTTTCCAGGGAAACTGTGTGCAAAACTAAAGGCAACATGCACACTTCAGCTTTATGATTTAAAGCACTTTTACCAAAGAATGGGGAGATCTTGGTCATCTTCTAAGACCATTTACCATAAAATTACAGAAACACAAATGAGAACCTGATGTGCTTGTTTTTCTAGGTGACAGTCTGCTAGACTCGAGTTTTACTTCCTCTTGCACTCAGCACTGCTGATTTACATGGAGCTACAACCTGAGGAGCAGTGCAGAGAACGCAGGCCTAAAACTGTCCCAGGATGAGATTAGCTACAGTTCATGCTTCCAGAATACCTCTTGGACATAAACACTTGGGGAGACTAAAGGTAAAGACCATCTTTCCCAAAACTTGACCTTGCTGATGGCTTGAGCAAGGATCTCTGCTGCTCAAACTGGCACCCCGCTAAGGGTGCTCAAAAGCAGAACTCTTTACCCAAGATGCTTTGAAAGAAGAAATGCTTATTAAGAGCAGAAACTTTCAAGTGTTAAGAAGCAGCTGAGCAGAACATATTTAATCTCTCTACAAATATTCTACAATGCATAAAATGTTTCTATTTATCTTAACAGTGATACTAAACCATCAAGTAGTACTTTCAACTTTGTCTTGAGAACTACATCCATCATTTCCAACTTCTACCAATTAAAATATGAGAGAAAAAGTATTTCCCTTGATACATTATTTTGCCTCTTCTAGGTTTATAATTCTCCCTTTGCTATGTACTGTGCATTGCAATTTTTTAGCACTGAGGACTAGTCTATAGGTACAAATTAATGAAATACTCTAATGTAATCAAAAGTCTTTGCATTTGTCTACTTCCTTTGTATCTGCATAAATTAGACAGGATGCACTTCAAATAACAAACCCAAGAGAACCTTTAGTTATTATAATTAATCTTAAGTTCTTAAAATGCCTTTAAATAGGACTTATAAAAAATGTAGGGCTTCCTAGTCTGTATCAAGAAATAGTAAGCGTACACTGTGGAAGTTATTTCAGAAGTAACCATGCAGATCATGGGCATGGAGTGAATCACTTGCCTATTACTGGAACTCAAGGTATTATTAAGTCAAATAAAACAACAGTTAGTGTTTGTATAGATCCACTGGAACTTTTATACTACTATTATTTTGTAAAGAGCTTGTGTTTTCCACAGTGGGTAGTTCTTAAATGTTTGCAGAAATGAAATAAAATTCCATTGAAAAAGTCTTTGTCTCTTTCTAACTTCCAAATACATACTACACACCCCCAAACACACCTTACAGATACTGTTTTAAGGCTGGATATTAATGAACTACTTAAATTGGCAGAGATGGGGGTGCCTATCTATCTCAGCTGCATACTAGAAAGAATTTTTTCCTGTTTAAGAGGCAGACTGATCTGAAGACCATGGAAGTAAGTACTGGTATCAGACTACTGAGAGGTGCCAACAGACGTGGGTGTGAGAAGCAAAAAAAGTGGAGGCTGCTGCTTTTTCATCTACAGTACTGTATGTATTTGCCTTTGATGCTGTCTCAATTCTGCTGTGAGCTTCAGTGTGAATATTTTCAGAAGAGAATAAGCATAAAGATCTTTTTATGCCAATACTTTCTTCCCCCATGAAATCACACTTTGAAACCTGTTCACAGGGTAGCTAGCTACAGCATACATGAGAAAATACTAGCTGATACACAATATAAATATATTCTTTACTAAAACTTATCAGAAAGTCTAAGTAAACAATATTTTATAACTCACATCTGCTAGAACTATATTACTAGAATACAACCGTGCATTATTCTGCCAAAGCAGTAAATAAATAGGAAAACATGTATATACCTTCTTTTTCCACCGAGTCAACAACAGCATTGACAAGGTGTATTACAGTCACTATGGAAGCTTGTAAAAGGTATAAAAGGAGCAAATTAAAACAAACCTATAGTTAGTATCACTTTAAACAGCACACAGATACATGAAAAAACCCCACTGTAAAATTCAGTCCATTACTATTTTATAGAGCAAGAGTACTGGTGTACATACACATTTACTCTCTAGAAAGTAGTTGTATATAATACATAAAATACATCTCTCAACCTCAATTTTATCCTTGATAAGCATGCAAAAGTATTTGTCACTACTCCTGAAGCAAACTTTGCATGAGCACAAAGCTGCTTTAGTTGTGTTAGAATTTCTGAAATGTTGCCTAAACACACCCATTTGCATAACACTTCATCTTCATAGCAACAAACCAGACTTTTCTAAAGGCTTGTGTTGGGTGAATTAAGGAGCATCGCATTAGGCTTCTCCTTTAAAAATGCAAACTACTTCCCCTCCCCCGAAAGAAAAGGGAAAGAAATTTTCACTGAAATGAACTGAAAGGTTAGACTATGAAAAATAACTACTGAAAATTTCTGTTGGTGACCTACTAAAGTTTTGTGAGAACAGTGATCTCACAGTAAGAACACCAAATTCAGGTTCTTACATCCATATACAAAACCAATTAAAATGAATGTATTTTTTATGTCTGCCCTTTACCAACATAGTTTGGGAAGGGAGAAGGATTTACTCTTATAGGGTAGGATGAGGTGAGCACGTGCAATTGGTTTGCATGGCTCAGGGCTTAAATTTCAAGCTAACGAATTCTGAATCTACCAAAATAGAAGGCAGGAACAATATCTATGATGCTACAGCTACTTCTCCTAAAATAATGTATTAATGAGCAATCAATACATGACAAGAAATGGGAGTAAGAACATATGAAATACATGGGATGGAGAGGAGGGGAGAACAACATGTACAGCACAACACTTAAAACCACAGGAAAAAAGCTGACAGTTGGTATCAGGTCTACTGACAAAATAATGAAGACTAAGCATACCATTTTACTTTCACCAATCATTAACACAGATGGCTTTTTTTCATGCTGTTAATAACAAATCACTCTACTTCTCTGAGAAGCAGAATGTTCTTTATTCCTAAGCTAAAGGAATTTCTAATTCCACACAGAGACAAAAGCAGAAATTGGAATAAAGAGTCAAAACATCTTAACTTAGTGAATTAGGTTATGAGACAACTGTGGCTTTGTCCAATCAGTATGAAATGTTTCTGAACACAGAGATGCATACATATTAACTGTAAAAGCATCTGCCATTACAATGGAAAAGTAAAAACTTCCAATTAATAATAATAAAACCCACAAATATGTATGCCAATTATATTTTGATGGACTGGAGTTGTGATCAAAATACTTATGTTTTTATATTGGCTTTTTTCAATGTATGAAATGCTTTTATGAATTCATTTTAATCATGGTGAAAGCCAAATATACTGTTCTACTATAACAAAATGCCTTTTTGTGCAGCTTCCTTCATTACTAAAGTAATCAGACTTACAAGCAGTCCCTTAAACTCTGCTCTCACTCAGAACTGATCTGATCCATATGGGAGCTGAGGTCGCAGCAAGAAAAAGAGAAGGAAACAAATGAAACTGTAACACCAGAAAGCTTTTTACTGAGAGCAGAACAGCAAAGTGAAAGTTATGTTTGTGCAGAGGCCATTTTTTAAATTCACTGTACTCTTGCATAAGGTGATAACTAATGATAACCTAGAAGAGTTTCTCAAATTTTAACACTTTCTTAAACACAAGGCTCTGAACACCTTGAGCTGCATTTTCACTGCAATATTCTAGCAGCAGAATGATTACATATAATTTTAAGGTAATTAACACAATGTGCACAACAGGTAAAATATTTAAAAATTAATAGATCAGGTATTAACATAATACAGATATATATTAAATAAGCTACTATTTAATATATATTCATTATATGCAAGTCCTATTAATACTAAGAGATACAGATGCAAAGACAGAACAAATGAACATAAGCAGCAGTGCAGAACAACTGCATTTTACCTACCATTGTCATCACATGATTCAGACTGGAAGGAGCTGAGAGACTGGACTTCAGACATGCTTTCTCTAGCGCTGTAAGGATGGGAGTTCTTTTCATCCAGAGGCTTTTTAGAGAGGCAGGAGTCAAGATCTACTACTTTAGCTGAAAGAAAAAAAGTTTCAAGTGAGATGATTAATAGATTCTAGATTATAGAGTCAATAAAATTTAAGGCTGAGATCTACCCATTTTTACAAAACTTAATAGAGCATGAAGCCTGATCAGAGTCAAAAGCCAGTAAAGTCATAATGCCTTTTGCATCGTAACTGGCACAGACAGAGACCTGGCATTCACACTAAAATTGTACCAACACGTATATTCAACAGAGAAGTAAAAAATAAGAACATTTCTTACTATCATAGTCAAAATCCCAGCTGGGTTTCTGTATTGAATCACTGTCTGAAGGCGAGTTGGATGGAGGTGGAGGTGGCAAATTTGGTGCTACACTGCAAACAGCTACAGCTTTCCGGTGACCATGTACAGAATCTGGGTTAAAAGTACTGAACTCTGGGTGCTCAGGGATAGCAGACCCCTCAAAAGAATTCCTGTCAAGATTGTTCCTGGAGTCACTTGGAATGCTTGGAGTATATGAAATTGGACGAACAGGAACCTGTGGTGGGATGTCAGAATAGATGTTCTTATTCAGTTTTGCATCAAAATAAGGTCTTTGCAAGAAGGCTGTTGTAGCTCCCAGTTGCTTGTCTTCAGGTTCTGGCTGGTGCTTCTTCTTTCTACTAACCACTTTGCGGCAAACGACAAAAATCACAACTAACAAGAAGATTCCTGCGATGAAAACGATAATCCCAATCACTTCAGCTAAGCTAATATTCCAAGATGTTGACACGTATTTATTAAGAACAATGTCTGTGCAGTGTTTTCCTCCAAATCCATGGCTACAGTTGCAGTGATATGAACCATAAGTATTCTCACAAAGGGCACCATTAAGACATGGATTTTCTAGGCATTCATCAACATCACTCAGGCACCTATCAGAAACAGAGCAGAGCAATGATGTTTAGTTTACATCAGTAATCTTTGTGGTAATCATCTCGTTCTCAGCAATTTTAGATATACTTAATATAGGGTTCTGCACCCTACCAGGCAATTTTTATCAACATCCTAGATATCAATCAGTTTGAACTGTAAAGTAATACTGTTAAAATTCAATGTATGTGGACTACTACCTACCTTTCTCCACGGAAACCTGCTTCACACTCACAAACAGGTCCATCCAAACTGTCAATACACTTGCCACTGTTTTTACAAGGATTGTCTTTGCAATATGGACCCAGCTGGCACCTGCAAAGGCAAAACAAACAAATGCATGAATGAACCATTACCTTACTGCAAGTGAGTATATAGTGTAAGACACAAGGCTATAAAACAGGGGTTGTTGTTATCTTCAGCTAACTCCAGTGGGTCTCAAAGTCTGACCTTTAAATAGGAAACTGATAAAAAAGGAAACAAAAAGTGTTACATTTATAGCCTGTTCTCTAAGGGGTTCATTGGTACAATAAACCATACAAACATACCTTTGGCCTGTGTATTGTCCTCGGCACTGGCAGATAAAATCATCACTGACCGGGATGCAAGTCCCACCATAAAGACAGGGGTTGGAAGCACATGGATTTACACTCACATCGCAGTAAGTCCCCATAAACAAAGGTGCACACTTGCAGTAGTAACCTGAAATCAAACACAGTATTTTTGAAAGACACATACAGCTTTACTGGATTTGAAATAAAATTCTCCCTACCCACCTGCCTGTTCAAAGAGAGAGAATGGGAAAAAATAGAAATATTTTTACTGAAAGATGAAGGAATGTCTAACAGTAAGGCTTTTCTTGAAACTGACCGAAGGATATCTTCCATTTATTTCACAAACTCAAGCTTGTCATGATGATTTCAGAATTTTTACAGCAATACTCTAAAGCAGGCAGTTAGGAGGACTGATCTTAGGTGTTGACACTGAAAATTAAATCCGCACATTGTCAGATGGACTTTGTCTACTTCATACCTCAAAGAATCTAGAATACAGGCAGACACAGCCTTCCTACCTGCTCAACACCCAACCCTCTGTAAGTCTCTGGAAAGGCAACAATTATGCACAAAATTGTTTTGTCCTTCAAAGCAAGGAAGTTGAAAAGCAGTTTTAAAAACTGAAAGCAGAAGAATATAGCACAGCTTACCTCCATTTGACAGTGCATTGCAGATGCCTCCATTCTGACATGGGCTGCTTGAACAACCATCTGTGGTAGTCAGTAAGCATCCAGGAGTGATATCTACAGATTCTTCCATGTGTGCAAAACTTCGGGGCTTGCTGTTTAGGGGCAGCTCTTGTCCATTAAGTACAACAGAATCCATACAGCCTCTGAAACCATTGCTAACCTGAGGATTTCTACCATGTCTTGAACCTTGCTGACGAATATGACCACCAAAAAACACATGATTATCTAGGTTTAGGGTCCTAAGAGTACCAGGAGCAGTACCAGATGCAGTATGCACCCTATCCAGAACAAGTCGTGCATAGTTTCCATCCACTTCAAGAGACACTGAATGCCACTGGCCATCATTTATCTGAATGCTCTGAACAGAGACAATCCCAGGTCCACTCCCACAATCAAATTTATATTGCAGTCTTCCATGGTGAATCTACAGCAGAAAGCAACAACATCAATAAATGGTCTGCACACCTGAAGAGTATAAAACATTTATGCATATAAACGTTAGTTTGCTAGTGAGATAGGATGACGTTGATGTTCATAAAAGGCAGTTTAATAATGCTGTTTTCCAAACAATCACAGCCACTGCGATTCATTCTATACCTTTTTTTTTAATTAAAAATGTGCACTTTGTACATTTTTTCCTCTAGTAAAGAGGTCACAGACCATAATCAAAACATGACAATACTTCAATACCTTTCATCTGGTGCTTTAAGTGACTTTTTCTATATGGACGTAAGTATTATAAGCAATATATGTTGTTTAAAATACATGATTCAGTTGTCTTTTTTAATTTATTTTTAAGCCGGTTAAGAAAACTGATTCCTTTTACAGATTAAAAAAATTCTGTACAAGTTTGTCACCTGGATGTATAATACACCCTACCTTCAAGGCAATTCTCAATTTTAACAATTCCACAGAGATGTTACAACTCAATCTTTTTATTTAGCACAAAAAAAATATTAAGAAGATGGTAGGAAGAAAGGAGGTGATATGCAGTAGGAGATTTTAATATACCTCTAAGATACTATAGTCTGTTCCTCGAGCATACATAACAACTGCATGAGCAGAGTAAGTTCTAAGTCTCATTGTCAGCTTCATTTCCTCTTTGTTCTCATTTTCCATGAGACGATATTTCACATAGCTGTTCCCAGTAAATGTCACAGCAGAGCCAGCTGATGCTTAGGAATACAGAAAAGCATAAAATGTATTAGCACAGGAATGGAATAAAATTTATATTTGGAATGTAATGTGGTTTTACACAGTTTATTAGAGTTGATTCCTTACCAGGACACTCTCCACCTTTGTTGTCTTGGCAAACACAGGTGTATTTTCCTTCCTTTGGATCTCCTAAACATTCGGTACCTTCAGGGCATGGGCTTCCATCACACACACTGCTCACCACAGGGCATTTCCCTTCTGTAAAACAAAATCCATTACTTCTTCTCTGCTGGTAGTAATGGGATTTTGTGAAAAGGGTCTCTTAAGTACAGTAGCTGAAAGTAATCCAAATTATATTCTTAACTGTCAGACAGGGAAGTGAAGTAACAGTTTTATGGGACATGACAGGCACAGACCAGACAAATGGTATATAGAGTGGCTGATGTTCATCGTTATCATGACTACTCAATTCAACTGGTAAAACTGGGAATCTGGTGTTGTGGTTTAAAGCTTGCCATTAGTATCATCCATCATAAAAACCAGTATGTAGATACTAAATATGGACAGATTAGGTTGGGGAGAGCAGGAGAAAAGCATATCTGTATTTGAGACAGGCTTTAAATATTTACTTCAAGTTGACCCAGCAATGTTAAGCCCTGATTTTAAAAAGAAAATGTTGCTTTCCTCAGAGCTAAAGACAAATTAATCTGTTATAAATCTGTGTATTTATATGTGTTTTAATGAATATTTTGTTTCCCCCATCACCCTGCCATTCCAGCCAACTTTGGAAGCTGTGTGGGCTACTCCTCTAAGCAGAAACAAGGAAGTGTTCAGGTACTTTGCAAGAACTTACCTTCGTGCACACAAGACTGAAAATAGCTGTCAATATAGTATAGGCAGCAACAAAAAAACCCCAACTTCTTGCATAAAATGGATAAAGAAGGTATAACTATAAAAAAAAAATCCGCTTCCATAAGCTTATATTACGTAAATTCTTAAAATGAGCTAATGAGATAAGAAAGAATTACTCTTCACTCTGAACAGAAACAGGCAAATGTTGCAGCGAGGGTTACAGAACATTCTTAATCTTGTCCTGTAACATAAATTTTTGCCTCTGGGTTATGGCTTTTTAAAACCAGAACAATCTTTCCAAGGATTTGGTTTTCCTTACTGTTTTTCTTACCTTTACAAAGACAAACTGCTGTTCTGTGATGACGGGGAGTGACAAAACTCAACCTGGCAGTGCTGTGGGTTGACATGATGTTCTCATCCACTGTTACTTTTTCTTCACAAAATTTCAAAGGACAATCTAGGCCTCCACAAAGCTTATGAAACACATCAATTATCCGGACACCTAAAATCTCCTCTAGGTCAGGCACAGAAGAGTTTATCTTGTGGAGCAAAATTCTCATTGGGTGGTGAGAGCTACCAGTCTTTTCAATATTCAGGAGGACATCAAGATTTGAAGGAGGATCAGAAGGCTGCAAACTAACAATCTGGATGTCATTTCTCCTCACGCCCAAGATGTTTCTTAATGCTCTCTGGAAATTGCGCCAGTAATCACCAATGAATTCTTCAGGGGACAGGTTTGCAAAGCGTATTGCAATACTGTGATTTAGCAAATCTTGTGTGATTTGTCTGATGTGTACAGTAATATCAGCTGCAGTTGTAAATCTTCCATCTGTCACAGTGACATTCAGGAGATACTGTCCTACGTCTAACCTTTTATGTGCTATTAGTTTGCCACCAGTACTGGAAACCGAGAACAAGGATTCCATTTTGGGGTCCAGACTGTATGTCAAAGTATCATAAACATCTTGATCGGTTGCATGAATTTTTCCAATGACACCACCTGAATATTCCTCTCCAAAGGCTGTGATGAAGATTTCTAGTGGCAGAATTGCTGGAGAATAAATGCTTTCCTCAATAACTCTAATATCAATGTAAGTCAAAGATGACAACGGTGGTTTTCCATTATCTGCCACCTAAAGGAAAGATGAAGACAGACTTATAGACTTCTGCTTTACGTCAAATTCTTCTGTAGATGTTTGTTCTGTATACAGTAGAGCTGTCTTTTTCTACCAAAAAACCCTAGTCCTACAGGAAAACGCTTTATGTAAATTTCCTGACACAATTCCCGACATGAAAGTTAATACTGAAAATTTAAAAAGCTTATATAAGCAGGCAAACACAAGTATGCTTTCACTTCTTCCAAGATTCAAAGGCTACAGTGCTCTTATTACCCAAAAATGCCAGGAAAGTATGGAGACTAGTAGCAAATACAGAGAAAATGCACAGTAGCTGATTTCAGACAGCAGATGGTGCTTGAAGCATTTTTATGTCAGGTATGGAAACACATTACAAACTTGAAATGAGTCATGCACTAGAAATGTACAACGTGCTTCACCACAGTTAGGAGGTGGTCTGGAACACAAGCTAAATGCAGTATGCCAAACAGTACTTCAAAAGGAAAACAATACATGCAAGTTACAATTAATTATGTTGCTCCTTAATTTTGACCACGGGGAGGGGAAAAAACCACACCTGCTGTGCTATTTGCTTCAGATGATTAAAGTAACTACCTTTAACAGAATCGGCTTAATTCAATTTTAAAGCCTTTTTGAACACCCTGTTCTCCTACCCCTTTTGGACAAAAACATACACTGTTGTTGTACAAAGACAGGACAAAAAAAGTGTGGAAAAGTGAGAAAAGAGCATTCCTTTGGGTTCACTTCCTTTCTATTTCTCAGGTTGTTTCCAGGGTACCTTCTTCCGAGACCCCTTTCCCAGTTACTGAAAGGGAGACTGAAGAAATAGGTAAAGAATTGGAGAGATGTAAAAGCACAGAGGGGATACACAGGGCTTAGAAGGTAGAAGATATTTGTCCAGAAAGATTCTGCATAGTTTTAAAGACTACAGGTACACTTTGAAATTCTATGCAGAGAAGCTGCGTTTGATTTTTCATACAAATTTGTAAGCAAAAGAGGAGTAACTCCAGGCACAAGAATGCAACTTTCATAGAACTACATGTCTTCATCTGTTAAATCTGAGAAAGAGAGAGAGAGAGAAAGAGAG